AACAGTAGATTACACTTTTGAATTATATAATAATTGTGTAGTTTTTAAATATGAATAGGTACTGCAAGGTTAATTGTAAATTGAGATCATCAGTCGGCTCAACTGGTGGTACCACTTTGTGTACGCTTAACCACCATGGAGATCCCTTGATCCCGATACCCAATGATGTAAAAGTATTGTATTTATTATATATATATATATATATGGAGGCTTCATGATCAAAACTTCTTGCAAGGCTTTTGGTATTTTGGTCCCTGGAGCGCTGGGCTGCTGGGCCTCAGCTTAGTGTCTGGAATCGTAAATATTTCATGAAGTAAATAGTTTGCGGAACGCTGCTGTAGGCCTACTATCAGTCATGAAAACGAAAATTCTAATTTCACATTTGAATTTGTATATTTAGACAAGTTATTAACTTCAAATTAAAAATTTTAATTAGAAAAAATCTAATTTTTAAAAATTTATTCATAATATATAAAATAATTTTTTTTTTAATTAGGAGGTCGTGGACCCGTGCTGACTGGGATCCCCTTTGAATCCGCCACTGTTCAATATAATCACTTGGCATAGCCTATCACTTTGTTTCACAACTGAATAATGCAATCCGCCACTGTTCAATATAAACACTCGACATAGCCATCACTTTGTTTCACAACTGAATAATGCAATCCGCCACTGTTCAATATATACACTTGTCATAGCCTATCACTTTGTTTCACAACTGAATAATGCAATCCGCCAGTGTTCAATATAAACACTTGACATAGCATATCACTTTGTTTCACAACTGAATAATGCAATCCGCCATGGTTCAATATAAACACTTGACATAGCTTATCACTTTGTTTAACAACTGAATAATGCAATCTGCCACTGTTCAATATAAACACTTGACATAGCATATCACTTTGTTTCACAACTGAATAATGCAATCTGCCACTGTTCAATATAAACACTTGACATAGCCTATCACTTTGTTTCACAACTGAATAATGCGATCCACCATTGTTCAATATAAACACTTGACATAGCCTATCACTTTGTTTCACAACTGAATAATGCAATCCGCCACTGTTCAATATAAACACTTGGCATAGACTATCAATTTGTTTCACAACTGAATAATGCAATCCGCCACTGTTCAATATAAACACTTAACATTACAACTGAATTATTCCTATTGTTAATGCCCCTTTCCCACATTCACAATTTTTGCTACGACAGAGCACGATTTTTCAATTTTGAAAAATCGCAATGGCGTCGTCGTAAATGTTGTCGTAAAAAATAATTCATCGTTTTGCATCGTGCTTTACGTTGATGTCATCGTGATGGAACACGATTTTTTTGGAATGTTAAAAAAATCGTGCTCAGTCGTAGCCGTGAAAAAGATTTTGGTCTACTGCAGCGGCATCCTGTGAATAGCATAACGTTGTCGTTGTTTGTCGTGACTGTGTCTTGTCCATTCGTACTACCAACAACACCTACAACAAGCAGAGACGTCACTGCGGTGCTGAGATGATTAGATACGATGCCACCAGGATACCATTAAGACCATGGTTTATATCACGTGGCTCTGTGTCAGAAAAGTTTTTTCAACACACTGAACAATTCCTTGCTCACTTGGAGGAAGTTTCTGAAGCCTCTTGGGTCTCTTCTATTTAACTTTACTAGTAAGTGTTCATACTGTCTAAAATATGGACGACGTAAGAACCATCGCTGTACCCATACACTTCGTTTAGGCCTATGCATTCGACGTGATCGACGCCGACGCTTTCTCTTGATTATCAAAACTGTAGCAGCCAACAAATTTTGTTCTAGGCTATATAGCAGCAGCTTGCAATTGATGGTGTTTGAACAGTGCGCTTTTTTGTCATGTCATGTGATGTTTGTTTTTGTGATGTGCATCTTGTTAAATCGTGCTAACGTCGTGCTTGCGTCTTTGTAAAGTCGTAGTGACGGCGAATTAAAATTTTGGTAATTTGTAGTACGTCGTCACAAATCGTAACTCCAACTAAAAATGTCGTCGCACTATCACATTAGTGCCGTAATACATCTTGACCGCGTCCTAGTAGCGTCTTGATGAAACGTAAAACTTGAACTTTTTGAGTACGATAGAGCGCGATTAAAAAACGTTTTAAAATCGTGCTCCATCGTAGCAAAAATTGTGAATGTGGGAAAGGGGCATTTTTTTATTCGAAAATTTTATTTTATTTAATAGTTTTTACAACCTGTAACACATTAACTACAGTGTGCTGTAAATTCTGTAGTTAACCTTCAGAGAAATTTATTTTTAAAGATGGCCTAAATTAAAATATTTTATTGTTTTCGTTAAATTAGATATAGTTTAAATGTGGTTATGTTATGCTAGTTTGAAGGTTTACTGTAAGCCAATCAGTTACACTTACTGTACAACTTCATGGTTAGCATAAAGAGAGTCGCTCCATTAAGAGGGCCTTCCCCCATATGGCTAAATACAGATTCACGGAGGCAGGCGAGTCCATTTTTTTTTCTCATGCTCGAGGGTGGGTTTCAAGAAAACTTTACAGACGTTCGTATACAGATGTCAATCAACATTTGGTTGCTCAACTCAAAGAGGGAACTTGTAATGTTATTTAGAAAATGGAAAAAATCTATGTTTTATAATAATAATAATTGGTCAACTTATAAGGCACAAATCACCAAGGTCTCTAAGCACCAAATAATAATAATAATAATAACTAGCATACCCATGCTCCGCACGGTGTTAGTTGAGTGAAGGAAGGTGGATGAGGCATTTATTATAGTTGAATTCTATGGGGAATTGAGGAGGCCATCATTAAGAATGCTATGGTTACCTTGTCATAATTGCTCTAAAACACCTCACTGCGAGAGTGTACAAGCTTCATTACTTTTAAATCTAAATTGAAAACACATATTTTTGATAGTAGTGCGAATATCACATAGATTTATTTTATTTTAATTTTTATTTATTTATTAATTTATTTATTAAGATCAAGTAAATTGAAAAAACTAAAAACAGAAATACCAAGCAGTGACAGGAAGTAAGTAATTAATTTACATATCAATAGGGCCTACTGTGTGGAGCCATAGTGGAGCTAAGCAATAATTAGCCCTTCTTAGCAGATTAACTAGATAAACAGTTTGGCTTTGACTGAATCAGTTTGTTTGTTTTGTTCTTTGAACTGAAACCTACACTTAACAAACAAACTGACTTACTTCTTGTCACTGCTTGGTATTTTTGTTTTTAGTTTTTTCAATTTACTTGATCTTGAGAATGGTTCCATGATGGACCTGAAACATCGATCTTAAATTTTGTTTTGAAATTATATGTTAAGCGTTTCTTAATTCGTAATTGATTTATTATTTTAGAGCAATAATTATTATTATTATTATATTTTTTCCTTTATATTTATGCATTTGTGCTTTTTTTTGTCTTTTTAAATTTTTTTTAATTATGATTCTAACCTCTTTTCTAATGTGTTTTATACACTTTGACTGCCAGGCCATTTTAGTGATAGCAATGCTCTCTGCCAGACATTTTAGCCTATATGACCAAGTTTCCAGTTCACATTGAGAACACATGTATATATGGAATGTTCTTTACACCAAAATAAAGAGTAATTCATGAGCTTTCAAATGATATCATACATTTTATTCATACAATAAACTATTGGAACACAATTTTGAATAGTAAACACATAACTTACTGCAATTTCACTCTTTTCAAGCAATAAAGCTGAGAAAACAGCATTTTCAGTTTCACAACTCCTAAACACTAAAAACCAACAACTAAACACAATAATCAGACTTTTTATCCCCTTTAGTGTATCAGTTATTTATACATACATCTATCTAACATAATAAAATTATAATTCCCACGCATGGATGAGGTCCACTGAGCCCCTGAGGTAGGGTTGCCTACCCCCCACTCTCCAAACAACTAAAAGTGTGAATATTGCCTATTTTCATTGCTTTGTTAGATATACACTTATTGATAAAAATGAAATATAAAAACAATTGTGTAATATTGCACACGACCTTGTACACATACCCACCACTGAGCCCTGGGGGTAGGGTTGGCTACCCCTCTCCCCCCGCAAACAACTAAAAAGTGAATACCTGTATTGCATATTTTCATTGCTAGCCCTAGGCCTACATAGACGCATCATTCACACGCTACTATTTAGGTCTAGGCCTGCCGACTTCTCTATGCAGCCTGTACTTTTATATATTTCTGTAAATCTGTACTCAATATATTATATAAAATATTGCATTACTTTAGACATATGCAAGGCCTGGGCTAAGAATGGGCTAAATTACCGAAGATGGCTAGGCCTAGGCTTAGCTAACATAATGCATCGGCCACCAAGCCTGACCACACGTTATTGTTGATGGACAGCCTCAACAAATATCAATCAAAACTCTTGTTTTATCTCGTTTATTGGTAAATGTACAAGAAAATAAAAACACAATAAGACATGAACATACATCGATGCATACTAAATAATCAATTTTGGAGTCCGAATCCGCGAACATTTCTGAAATGACCTCTTCTGAAAACAGATAAGTGCGATCCATTTTCTTCGTCGCGTTTCGTATCCAAGAGATCAAGCTCTTTGGTGTAAGCAAAGACGTCACGCTAAGCATGTTGGGCAGTGGTGGCGCCAGAGGGGAGCTGGGGTGCTATAGACCCACCCCCTTCCCCGAACCCCCCTCCGCCTTAATTTCACTTTCTTTTATAATACTATTATTTGAAGCCTGTTAAACATTAGTTTGAAAACCCTGTTAGAGAAACCTTGGCCCTTTACTGATTACTAATACTATACAATCGTAGTACTAAAGAAGAAATCTGCTAGAGTAATCCTTATATTCAATACAGTTAAAATGTTATCCCACAATAGGGAAACATGTTTTTCCATTTGTATGTAACACATCACAACAAACACAATTTGAAAATATTTTATTTCTATTGAATTTAATAATATCCCTTTTATCTAATAAAGTCATCATAGATTTTAACATGTATTTTCTATTTTTTTTTTATCTTTATAGTGTCTTCAACATCGTGCTTTGCATCCAAGTGAGCCTTTGCCACAACCAAATCTTATCACTCAAGCACTGCAGTCCAAGAGAGCTCTGGAGGCAACATGTTCTTCAGAATTTGAAAGCATGAAGAAACAGTTCAAACTTGAACTTAATGAAAAGGATAAAAATACTGAAACAGGGAGTTTGTTGTGGAAAGTCAGGTTAGTTATCTCAGGACTTAAATCTACCATAATCTTCTTGGTATTCTGTGTTACATACTTAGAACATATAATTCGTCACCAACACCACGAAGAGAAACAAACTTAAAAAGTCATATTTTTTCAATTTCTTTTTCTTTGACATTTTGATTATGTACATCTTCGGGGTAGTCATCTGTATGTGGTATTAAGTCAAAACATTGGATACGGAATTGCAAAGCTGTACTGCAAATTTCTGTAAATCACGGTCAGACTTTCTTTGCTAAGTTTTTATTTTATTTCATCCACGCCCTACAGCAGGGGTGGCACGCCTTACAGCAGGGGTGGGCAGAAAAATCGGTCGGAGGGCCAAAGTAAATTTATTTAACACTGAGGGCCGCACCCAAACTTTGATTTTTCCAGTGCGCTTCCAAGCATTGCTTTTACACCGCTTTATTCCCAGTTTTAATATTAATTTTTACATATGATCGGTGTCAGGCTGTGACAAACAAGGTGTTTTCTAGCTAATGTTGCTTGGCGGGCCGCACACATAGGGTTTTAAATGCACATTCGCGGGCCGCAAAAAAATTGCTGTCAGGCAGCATGTGGCCCACGGGCCGCACTTTGCCCACCTGTGCCCTACAGTGACCAAACTTACCATTTACAGGGTTGAACAACAGGAAAGTACACAATAAATACTAGCTAAATTTTAGAAACATTAGACAAGACTTTACTGCGAAAACATGAAAATGAGTAAAATTAGAAATCGGAATTATATATTGGAACATAAATTGGAAAATAAACCTCAAAGTTCCCGTTATACTTTCAATTCATGCACTTATAAAGAAAAATCATGTCGTATATGTATGTCGGCAAAAGAAAATTTAAAATCTCTTTCACTCGACGCCGGTTATAATGTTGGCAGTTTTTAGTTTCCGCTACACACCTGACCTGTTATCGCAGTAATGGATGTCTTTTCAAGCTGGAAAGCCTAGCAAATTTCAGTATTCATGCCAAGTTGTGGAAGTCTTCTGAAGATCAATACAAGCCAGTCTGTATCATTCCCAAATTCAGAGGCCACTTCTATGCCATGGGGAATCATTAGAGCATCATCTTCTTCTTGTGTGCTTACAGCTGTTGGAGGATGCTCTGGAGTGTTTGTTTTGACATCTTGCCGTGTGAATTGTGACAGGTGCCGCTGAAACCAGAAGAAGAGTGGCTCTTCAGCCAATATACGACCATCTTGGACCAGAAAGAGCAGTGACACTACCAGGCTTCCATGCTATCACCGGTTGTGATAAATATTATTATAGGGCATATAAATGGTGTTGGAAAAAAACAGCCCTTAAGATGTTTATGGAATCACCACCTCATGTTTACATGCTTTGGCCAAGCTTGGGGAAGGGAATATGCCATCATTAAATGTGAGAATGGGATGCAAGGAGTTTTTGTGTAGTTTTCTCTGAATGAAGAAAGTATCTGCTAAAGATGCCTCAATTTTACGATGGTAAAGATTCAAAACTCTGCCAAACAATCAAGGTGTAGATAAGCTGCCACCAACTGCTGGAGCCTTATATCAGCATATATTGCATGCACAACTGCAGGCCAATATATGGAGCCAGGATACTCTGATCCATGCAAAGTTGATGGTAAATTGAGACCTGTCTTGTCAGAAAAGCATGTGTAGGAGAAATTGAACAGATGTACCTGTTCAATAAGTACATGTTCAAATAATACATGCATGTGTAGGAGAAATAATCTTCAGTGTACTGAGATGTGTAACTGCGAAGCAGAAGGGAGTTTCTGCAACAAAATTCCATTGTTGTCTAGTGTTTCTGATTCATCAAACAGTGATAGTGATGAAGAAAGTGATAATGAACATTAGCATATTATAAAATCACTGACGTAGGTAAATATAAGTAAATCACAGTATGTAATATGGTTACATAATACTAACACACACATACCCACACATTATATATATATACATACATATATATATATATATATATATATATA